GTTTCCGCTGTTCCACCTGCAGCTCCACTCTCAGACAGGGAGCACATGCTTTTGACTCTGAAAATAGTGAGTATTTATTAATAATATATGCATCTGTATATATATGTATATATATATATACACATATATATGCCTATACATACATACCTACATACTTTATATGCATACATACATAGTGTATCTATACACTGTATGTGAGTACAGTATATGTAAGTATATGTAAAAAATATATCATTAATATTTTTGCAAATGTTGCAGCTTGTTTGGACATGCCATTATTTAGTCCCTCTGTCATTGACATATGCTTTCTTCTTTAAGGGAAATTGTACTGTAAACTACATTTTGATCAACGTAACACTGGGACAAATCTGCGGAGGAGTTCCTCTCTGCGCTCCGTAAGTAGCTGGACGATGACCTCTTATTCTGTAAACACTCTCTACCTGGTATAGTATCTGAAAGTGAGAAATCTAACCTCTGTGCCTGACGCCCTTTGTCTCAGATTCAGAATGGAGCCGGGGTTCAGGAGCCACGTCTTGTTGATAAAGACAGAACTCCGTCCTGCAGCTCAGCAGACATGAGCGGTAAACCTGCAGCAGGTACCTTCTGCTCCTTCATAAAGAAACAGCTGAGCTGGCCATTGAGTGTGTCTCGCACTGTGTGTAACGCCCCCTGGTATGTGTCCAGCTGTGTGCATGCTACAGCGCGGGCATTTGTGCGTCACCTGAGGGACAACGCCCAGGACTATACATTCCTGTATGAGCTACTGAGTGTGAGCTTGCCTCTGCTTTTTGTTTTACAAGAGGTACTGCTGCAGCTCTACACAGAGGCTGTGCCGGGGCCCACCAGCTCTGTACAGCCTCTGCTGCTGTGGCTGCAGGAGCACGTGATCAACAGGCTTATCTAGACAATCGCCACAAACCCTGCTGTCCCCATCAGCAATGCAGCTGTCTGAGGTGAAGAGCAGCTCCAATGACTAGCATCTCACAACCAAAATTGTGTCACCATTGTGTTTAATGTTTACCTCTCTGTCAGAAAACCAGTCTAGTTAAAGTCCATACATAATAGACATAGTTAGGATGAGTTAGAAGTACATATGATCCAACACGGCCAGAGTCGTCCTACTGTTGTCTGTGCTAACAACCTGTTAGCAGAAAGTGAGACCAGAGTTGCAAATCATTAGACTCTGCTTTTCAACACCAAACATGGTCACAATATAAGGGCAATATGACATCATCACTTCCCCATGTGACATCACTCTTAAAGTTAAATCAGTTCAATCCTAACCGATAACAGTCTGCTGTCAGGACGAGTGATGCTGTTCTCAGAATAGGAAGAGAAAGAGTGAAAACTGTTCTTTTGATGTATTCATATTTTATGTTTTAAATTTCTTTTACACTTGTGATAGCATTTTGAGTGGATTTCGACTCAACAAAGTTGTCATGTTAGGTTTTGTTTGTTTTTGATGGACGACACAGTCAGTCAGCAGGACAAGTCTGTCTGTGCTGGATTATATTCAGTACTTTGTTCAGTACTCCTTCACGAAAACAAAAACATATCATATAAACAAACCAACATTCTCCTTCATTTTTGTTGTTAGTGTGTCAGATGCATCCAGACTGATCAAAGTTTTTTTTTTTTTTTTTTTTTTTAATGGTCAGAACCTGCCAATCGTATTTGTGTCGGCAATTAATGCAGGTCACAGATAAAAACTACTGACCAATTCATATGGGTCCCAACTGGCAAGTACTGAATAAGGGGCCGGACACAAACAGTGCCTTTAGAATTTAAAACCTGCTGAAATCACCTTAAAAAAACAGACCCTGCAGTTAAACTATGTTGACTCAGGTAATGACTGCCTAACTTGATGCACTTTATCTTTAGGGATCTGCCTTAAAAACACAATATCTACTGTGTCCTACTGACATATACAGCCTCGCATTGCAGTATATATCTCTATGCAACCCTTAGGTTATCCGTTTTACATTCTGACTGTTCTGGTTGACTGTAAGAGCAGATCTCAACGTAGTATTTTCTATCCAGACACTCTGAGGAGGTGTTAAGTTCTACTCTGCTGCCACCTGCTGTTGACTCTCAGAAAACCAGGCTCAAATGCATAACACGACTAATGTAATGTTATATTTAAATAACAGAATGTGAAACGTTTGCTTCTTTCACATTGACTGTAGAGTGTTGACACTGAGTTTTCTTACCATTATTAAAAAGCATGTTGTAAGAAGATCAACTGCAAACCTCTTTGACTGGAAGCTTCACAGTGGCTTCCTATTCAAGTGCCCATCTCTATTGATGCTGAGTTGGATATTCAAGTGCCCATCTCTATTGATGCTTAGGAAGCAATTTAGAGTTGGATTTTTTTTTTCAAACAGAATGTACTCTAAGTTTTTTAAAAATTGTTTTTATAGAATGATGGTTGGATTATGCGAGTTGATGTTTGCGATTGATTGTGAGCTGCTTGTTTTATTTAAATTTCCTGACTCTGCATGTTTGAAACAAGATAAGTTGCATGTTTTTTTTGTTGTTGTTTTTTTTAATATTTATCACAAAGGCACCATAAATACAGGTTCAGTTTGAGGATTCATTACTGAACTGCCGTCCTTTTCCCTCTTCCAACCCTTAGAACTAAAACACTTTTTTAAACAAGTGGCCTCACTCAATAAACCTTGTGGTCAGCTAATTACGACAGAGTTTTTTTTTAATATCCAACTTCCATTGATCATTTGAGTTCAATGTTATCTTTTAGAAAGACTGGCATCGTCCTTCCAAATCCCCACAAATTGGCTTAATTTGAAACTACACTTAAACGCACAAACAAATGAGACAAAAATAAATAATTGCTTCTTTTTTGTCATTTTTTATTAAAATAATATTTTTTAATATTTCTGTTCATTTTAATTAACAGAAATGACTAGATTTTATCTCTACACCAATGATGGTGTTGTACGGACATAAAGGTGGAGTAAATAATGCAATACCTGGAAAGGCCTTGAAAACCCTGAAAGCTGTTGTCCTGCAGGCGTATAAATGGTATAAATGACCACCGTCTGTCGAGTCTGTCTCTCAGCTCATAGCAACAAAGAACCTGATAAAGTTTACACTTCAGGGTTGAACTCTGTTTCTCCTGTTTTATCCTGTGCACATTGACTTTTGTTACGCTATATTTTCATTATATAACAGAACCAAGAGCAGGTTAATAAACACATTATTGGCACTTTTCTGCCTCTCCTTTAGTAACTCATAATGGAAAAAGTCCATTCACACGGTGGAAGAAACTGGTCAGGAATGCACTCAGAGCTGAGTGAACTAAAACTTAATCATCTTGGTTTTTTTTTCATGTTGCATTTTTGCACTTAAGAACTGTCCTTGCCACCAGATTAAACTCTGTTAAAATACTTCCACCTGTTGTTGCCGTGCCTGTGCGCACTGACAGTTGATTACACTTTAAAAAGCTGTTGTGCAGCACTTCACATTCCCTCTGCAGCATCTATGAACCGCGTGAAACCAAATATTTCTAAATTCAAAGTTCTTTTAGCCTTATTTACTTTGATGAAACATTAAAAAGGGATTGGTTTGTTTATAATTATCTTTGTTGTATAAAGTGTCTTACTCTCTGAAAAAAAAACACAATAGAATCAAGACAAATCAGCCAAAAACCGCTCATTATTTTACTGTTTCATAGATAACTGCACACATGTCTAATCCAAGAACACTCCCAGAGCCGTCATCACAGCATTCTGTATCAGTTTTATCAGGATCTGTTTAGTCTAATGTGCCTTTTGTTCAATGTTTTGTTTTGTTTTTTTCATTCAGAGCTGCCACACAGGAGGGACATCACTGCGTTCACTCCAGACTCAGACGATTTTTTTTCTGTTTAAAGAAATGCTGTTTAAAATGCTGTCAAATAATAATAGTTCATGTTGTTTCTGGCTTTTGCCTGTTTGTGTTTGCACTGCTGACTTCTTCACTGAGAGTAAACCATAAAACATCCAAGGGTTTTTAACATTTATTTTAATAGAAACACCCCGCTGTGGAGCACGGTGCGTTCCGAGCCCGTAAATGTACGGTCAAATACATCAGATTGAGGACACATTTTGAGATTAACAAAATATTTTTTGTCGACACGTTGAATAAAAATGCAGCCTTCATCGCCTCAGTGGTGCTCAGCCATATTAGAGCTTTTCGGCAGAAGTGTTTTCAAAAGATCCTAAAAATAGCTGACTGTCAAAAGACTGGTTCATCGACTAAACCGTTGTTCAAACGCCCGCTTCGAGGCAAACCAAGACAACACTGTGTCTCACAACAATAGAAGTTCCTTTTTATGACAGTGGCTGTGCCATTACTACCACAGCCCGGAGGGGGGGGGGGGGGGGGGGGGGGTCCATTAAAAGGAATTGCTACTCACAAAATTGAATGTTCTATTTAAGAAGACCGAAACGAGCAACTTGGACCATAAACATACCAAGACAATGTTAAATAATAAGTTGTTTTAAGTACAATAAATATTCTGCAGATTACCATTTATTTATAAAAGTTACTTCCCAATCCTCAGAGCATCTATTTGTTCATTTGACTTCTATTATGGCCTTTTAATTTGGCTTTGAATTTTAGTCCAAAACTGTTCTTGTAAAGTAATGTTTGTTTGTTTTTTACTACAGGTCTCACAGCTTCTGAGGTGAAACTCTTTTTGGGGTTTAGGATTTGGATTAGAAATGGGTTAGGAGAGTTTGGGTCATGTTAATGCGACACAAAACTTCTGGTCCTCAAATTATTTGCAATCTTCAAAAACAACAATCAAACGTGTGTGTGTGTGTGAGAGAGAGTGTGTGTACAGTACCTGTTCTGTCCACTGTAGCATTACAGCGCCGTTCTGTTTTGTGAACTCCTGCTCCTCAGCTCAGGTTCCACTCAGCTGACCCCCATAAACCTCCAGACCCAGAAGTTTTATTGTCTCCACTGCCCCCAAGTGGCCGGATCTAAGTTATGGGTAAGACATGTAATATTGATTAATGTGGAAATTTAATTCACAGTGACTTAAACGTTGTCTTGTTATTGTGTCAATTCATTGGCATAATGGCTAAATAAAAAGTTACAAATGTGTCAAACAGAGGAATATAGTGGTAAACTGGTAAAGAATAGACTAAGTATCACTGGGTTTGATTTAAACATGGCCTTGATGTGGTACATTGTCTTTAACTGACCCCGTTATGTCAGGAGTTTGAAAGAAAACAGCTGAGGTTCCTGCTCGTTGTATTTAATCTGTTTACTGACCCTGGTAAGTTTTCATCTTGTTTTATTATTATTTTATTTTTTGTAGTAATAAATTATCTTTTCTTGCAAACAGAAAAGGCAGGACTGAAAACAACTTGTACAGTTAAAGTGAGTGGCATTCAAGCAACAAAGCAATCAGAACCTGAAATTGCTCTGAAATTACAGAAGCTGTGAAAGTTGATGGGAGTAAAAAAAAAAGAAAAGGCAGGAGATAAATCTGAAAATACAATGTCATTATTTCAAAGGGTTTACGCAAATCACCCTTTTAAACAAAACAAATCGTCCTAAATGGGAAGAAATTCACAGGTCACTTGAAAGAATGGACCGTCATTTACACGAACATATGCATTTGCCATTAAATAGAATTATCAGAATAGAATTGAATTAGTTCACGTGTCGTTGGTCTTGTTAATATATGGGATACAGAGTGTGAGAAATTACAAGTGCTTTTAATGATTACATAATTATATATTATATTTAAAAGACAACAGATAAAAAGAAATACATCAATACATCAATATGAATGAAGGCTGCTGGTTTCAGCTCAAATCTTTTTTAAATCAGACTGAAACAACTGAGAGAATTTCTATTAATAATGCTTTGAGCTGCAGCTTCACTGGACAAAAAACCCTATATATCCAGCATTTAAACATATCTCATCTGCACAAATATTGGAAAATTAAAAAAAAAGGACGTTGGTGTTTGAAGAATACATGAGATGCATTATAAAAGAGGAAGA